CCCTCTAATGGTTCTTATAAGCTACAAAAACTTTCTCTGTGGCAGGCCTGCTCATGAAAAGTTCCAGTGTATACCTCCTTAGAAGACCAAAAATGAACAGCCACTCAGCTGTTTCATCCCTCAGCCTTATGGGAGTGCTGCTCCAGCATCCAATCACCTTTCGGGGGGAGATGGAATCTTGGTGGGAAGCGCAGCAGCTCAGGTCTGCCTCCAGGAGAGTGCAGTCATAGTTTGGGTCTCCCTCAGGGAGATCTGAGCCACTGTTCAAGTCTTCCTCTGCAGGAGAGCCGTTTGGTAGCTCTGCCTGTTAACATCGTAGAGAGGTTTAACTTTACCTCTGTGAGGACAGAGTTCCCAACTGCTTTAATCCAATCTCAACTACACTTATGCATCTTGACTCTAACTCTAGCCCTTCTTGGCAACTAACCCCTTCCTCCTATATGTAAGGCTTGAGGAAAACTGTTTCGTTGTATCTGATTAAGTGTGCATGCACATGAAAACTTATACCCAGAATTAAACTTTGTTGGTTTTAAAGGTGCCACGGGACTCAAACTTTGTTCTGTTGCTTCAGACCAATACAGCTACTCACCTGAATCAGAGTCCGCAGTTGTTGTGAGGCCGGTCTCTGGTGAGGAGCAGACCTTGTTATAGCTTAGTCTAGCTCTTGGGAAAGAGCGCACTGGTGTTGGTGGAATCCTGTGTGTGTAAAACAATCCAATCTAGTGGCTAATTAGCCTGTTTCTACCTGCAGGCATTAAAGAGAATTCAAACCATGCTCTGTAGCCATAATTACTTTAAATTCATGTGCTTCAGCCAGGTTTTGCCTTTGACTGTTTGGAGAACTGTGCTACTGATCTGTTTTTTAAAACCGCCTGTAAATACAGAAATCAACTTTGTTCCTTACATAACACTCTTGCCACAGCAATCTCTGTGTTCTTGCTCATCACAAACCCTACATCACAGCAGTAAATCCAAAGCCTTTACACTTGCCACCTAGGGATATCTTGTAGCTGAAGGGAAGGTTTATAGTTAAAAACAAACCTGGTCCCCCCAAATCATAAGAGGTTGTGTTATCAGTTGGCAGAAAAGGCCTGTCACGGACACTTTTAAATATGCATCCAAGACAGCCTTCCCTGAATATCTGAAGAGAAGAGATTGGATTTATACCCCGCCCTTCACTACCCAAAGGAGTCTCAGAGTGGCTTACAATCTCCTTTCCCTTCCCCTCCCCACAACAGATACCCTGTGAGGTAGGTGGGGCTGAGAAAGCTCTTTCAAGAACTGCTCCTGAAAGAACAGCTCTGAAAGAACTTGTAACTGACCCAAGATCACACCAGCAGCTATATGTGGAGGAGTGGGGAATTATACCTGGTTCTTCCAATCAGAGTCCATGCTCCTAACCACTACACCAAACTGGCTCTATAACCTTTGCCTATATTTGAAACCTACTTGCCTGTTGAAATATGTATTACCTTCCATGCTTTTAATACTTTTTATACTGCATGTGATCAGTGAAATAATTCCACAAAACATTTCATTCCTGGAGCCAACCAGTAATATGGGACATGTGATGGGGATCCTGTTAAAGGACACCAGAGTCCTTCAGCGAAGAGACAGAGTAGCCAGAACGAGTTGGGACTGCCAAAGGCGGAGTCATATGATGAACATAGTCTGACTTCTCTATAACACAATTACATGTGAATTTTAAATTAAAAATTATCAAAACTTATTAAGTTATCAAAAGTTATCAAATCTCCCCTCAGCCATCGTACGTTTCATGGTGCCCTAAATGTGTCGCAGGGCCGGCACTTAGAGAAGAATTCGCACAATGCTCCTTTGAGTCAAGAGCCTGGAAGGCAGCCTTTAAATTGAGACTGAAAGTTCTTTATATGACACCTAATGCTCAAGGAGGTCTTCTTTATCTTTTAAAAGGGGATAATTATAAATGTACGTGGGCAAAACATATAGATAACAAGCTGGAGTGGATTGGTCTCGCCCCTACGGGGCTTAATAATTTAAATTATCAAGAAGCGCTAAATTTGATGAGATTGAGGGTGACAAACATTGACCGACTCAGCACTTCAATTCGTGCTAGGCGAGTATGCTCCAACTCTGCCTTAGGGATTGTTCCACCTAAGAAAACTCCCTCATATATGAGCTTCCTTACATCCCCCAGATCTAGATATGTCTTCACGCTTGCAAGGTTGAATGTTTTTCCAACTGTAGAGCTAAGTGGCCGTTTTGCTAAAATACAGTACTCAAATAGATTGTGTAATTGTGGATCAGGTGCAATAGAGACCTTAGATCATCTTATGTTATTTTGCCACCAATGGATTGACCCCAGATCCTGCTGGATTACTCCTATTTTACAAAGATATCACCTCCCTATGGAACCCTGGGTGATAACCATACTATTAGCTGATGAGGACCCTGAAACGACTCGCTTGGTGGCAAAATATCTTTCAATAGTGCTATTTTTAAAGCGGCTTTGAAATGTTATGAGTACCTTTTGTATACAATTTAAAAATTTTAAAACTAATTTCCATAATATCATGGGATTTTATAGAATTCATTGAAGTTTATAAAATGTGGTCTGATGTTACTGATTATGTTTACTAGCTTTTATTGTAAAGGCGTTCTGTCTAAATTTCTTGTAATTTTATGTAATGCATTTTATATTTGTTGTTTGCATGTTTGGCTTAAGACCTCGGGTCAATGAAGCTAATAAATGAAATGGAATTAATTTCCTGGGGACAGGAAAAGATTATAAAAAGAATGTTACCATGAGATAGTAGAAAGGCATTATAAGTTGTGAAGCATTTACTATCTTGCGATGAGTTTTTGAAAAAAATCTTCTGCACTGTTTCTCATCATATTCACAGGGAGTATATGTCAGAGTGATATGAGGTAGCAAGCAGTTACTATAGATCAGTTTGATCTATTTGTCAGACCTAGCTGTCAAGCTGGTAATCATGTAATTACAGCCAGGTGGTTTCTAGCAGGTGTTACTCTTTTAGGTCTTGTTAGAGTTAGTGATTACATCACCCAGTTAAAGATTGGCTGGGGTTTAGTATAAAAGCTATCTGTTTAGTAAGCTGGGTGGGAACTTAGTTCTCATAGACTAAGGCACGACATGTTGTTCTATAGCCTGTATATATCTCTGTATATATTCACCTTTATAACTATATAAACTCTCTGTGCACCTTCATAGCTGGTCAGTCTCCTGCTTCTTATTTACAATACCCAATAAGTCTTTCAACTCATTCTGGAGAGATCAGCAAGGGCTTGATCTAGCAGCAAGAGCATAGTTACGTCCATTCATTCAACAGGATATTGCAAAGAAAATGCTCCACTGTCTCCCAAAGTTAACGGGGCTTAATATTTAACTTTGGCTAAAACCATTTAACCCCCCTCCACTGACCCCCACTCTGTACAACTGCAAAACAGCTTTATAAATTTAGGATGTTGATTTAGATATTACACAAAACTTGGCATTGTCTCAGTGACAATGTTAACTGTTTTTATTTGCAATAACTATTAAAGCAACAAGACTGTTGACTTGGCTGGCCACTTGCTTGGCTTCCTCTGTGCCACAAGGTTAAACTGATCTCATTATCTGTATCCTGTAGAGAGATAATTTGTACTAAAAGCCTCTAAGGTGGTCAAATGTGATTGGCAAGAGAAGAAAATGGGGACAATATGATGAAAAACAGCTTTTCTGCACAGATGCAAAAGCTAAGAAGCAGGGAGGACAGGGAAATGCAGTCTGCCCAAGCCTCTCGCAGCACAGCCAGACACTATTGTCAATTCACACAGATTACAGTCCTGATTCAGGTGGGTAGCCTTGCAGATTGCAGTCTTGTTTAGCTTTTATGTTAAATCAAACATTTGTGTCTTCATTTTCCCTAGGCATTTTATATAACTATCTACCTTTACGAGTTAAGAAAAATACCAGAATTTTTTCCCTGTCTACCATGTAGAAAACATAACAGTAAATTGAAAAAGTGTGTTTCGGAGTTCCACAGCCGCAACTCAACCTTGTGCACGTATGAAACAGCAGTATGATGATCCTCTTAAAGCGGGAAATGGTGCTTGCAGTGAGGGCAACCAAAACCACACTGAAGAAGCACTCCCTGTATGTATCTGAAAGGAAGACGACCCTGAATGTAAGGTGACCCCCCCTCCAAAAGCTATACACAGTAAACATTTCATTACTGAACATATTTTGCATACAATATAAGATGACCCCCCCTTTATGTCTTGACAGCATACCTGTGGAAAACCCCCCACAAATGGTCTTCCTTTAAGTTCATACAGTAACTCTTTGCCCGCCTGACACTTCTCCAGTTTAAAACATTTCTTCAGCAGTACCCCACTGCCACAAGGCTTCAATTCAGTGTATATATTCATAACACAAATTTTCTCTTTAAATATGATTATTACTTTTTGCAAATATATTTTGAAAAGGGCAGGTTGCCTAAAATGTGTCGCTGACAACACTTGGCCTTTGCATACCAACCATTTCTACAAGTTGAAAAAAAATTACATTCTGACACCATACAAAAATTACCCGAGTTTAAATGGGAAAATATATCAGTGGTGAATGGTACACTTTTAAATAGCTGGGTTACATTGCAACAAAGTTTTATTAGGTAGCACAACCCTTCCTAGATATTTGCTCCCATGTATATGGCACATAAATCTAGTTATTTCAATGATGCTGTTGCAACATGCACGTGTGTTTCTATTTGGACATTTAAAATTGGGATACTTTCCATATTTGGTTTTAAAATATAAAATATACATTGGCTTTTGGAGTTAAGGAAAGTTTCACATTGTGGGAAATAGCATGTAGTTGGGGGGAATATATTACCTCTGATTATGGGTAGATTGCAAGTTTGAATGCTTATTCATATAAACATAATTGCATGTACCAAGAAAGCTAGCATGTCAAAAAGAAGGGTTCTCACCTAGCTGACTTGGTGCAAGGTCTTTTTAAAAAATGATTCTCTCACTTGCTGTTTGAAGTGGTCCAGTCCAGAAAAAAATTCTGCCTGTTTGAACTGGCTACTGACTCTAAACATGGCCACTATCAACAACAACAACAACCCCCACACACACACAAAGCTGAAGATCCACCGTATTGCATATTTTTATTACAATTTAGGAGAACCTAAAATATGGTTGTAGCTGTCATGAGTTAGCTACTTAGACTTCAAAATAGCTTTTTATTGCTTGACTCTCTGTTCTTGGTGGGGGAGACACTGTCATAAATTGATCCATTTATCAAAATAAAAGTACAGTGAAAAAACATTGCTATTTTAAAATATCTTTAAGTGGAGCCTCAAGAAAAGATTGATATCCTACGTTTCCATTAGACAGTAATTAACTTCCTAATCTTTCAGAATTATAGACATATTTGGTAATCCTGAATACATACGCTTTCGCTATAATTCAGAGATCATGGCAGCAATATTAGAGTTCCAGAGCTGGAGATGGATAATCAAGTATTTTCAGTACTCAGTAGATTCCTTTAAAAATTAGTCATGATTTGAAAATTGTGTCTCAGTTTAAGGCCTGCTTCCCAACTGCAGCTAAGTGGCTAACCTGTCAAGGTCATAAACTTGTTTTTAAATACAAACAAAAAGGACCATGCACAACAGCTGTTAAAATTATTATGGTGCAGCTGTGTACGTGTGTCTGACTGTATGGAGAAGGAAAGAATGCAATACCACTAAGCAGCACCAGCCTGTCAAGAAGCTATTAGGGTCAAATCACTACTGGAACTGACTCCCATAGAGAGGGTGTCCAGAACTAATGCTTCCCATTTCCTCCATCAGATTGTATCATGGATTGAATAATACTACTTTCCGTGACTCACTCCCCTGCAGACTTACACACAACCAAAATTACTTATTTTAAAAGGGGGGGGGAAATGCTACAAATTGAATTTAGGCTGCAACCCTGTGCGTTCTTAGTTGCAAGTCCCACAGAATTAATTGGACCTCCTCCTGAGTAAGCATGGATTGGGCAGTTTGTCACATACAGGAAGTCTCAGTCATCTTCTGGGTCACTTTCTTCTCTCCTTGTTGGAACAGAGCATTTAATTGAGGTCATCAGCTGGTCCTGGATCTGCTTCCTGGGGTTTTCCTCCAGGTCTGTCTTGATGGCACCTGACTCAGATATCTTCCACTCCAATTCTAAATGCAAGAGAGAAGAAATAATGCATTTATGAGGTCTTGGGGAAAAGTGGGAAGGAGGGAAGTGTCACAATGTTCTTGCTCTTTTGGATGTACATGCATCCATCTGCTCTCTTCCATTCCCCTTTGACTAAGTTCCACACAGCCTTTTTGAAAATGTAGATGTGCTAATTGCCTGTGCACTCCAGCTGCTCAGAGTACTTGAGATGGGCAGAAGCGAGTTCAGCTTTATACTTCTGCTGACAGGGGAGGCAGAAGAGTAGTTGTTTTTCCAGACTATAAAAGACACATAAGGAAACATTTGGAACTGTGCAGAGGCCTTAAAGACATGTACGTCCCACTTCACATTGCTCCTTGCTTATTTCTTCACTGTGCAAAGCCAGGAACACTTCCCACCTAGCAGCGGGCTTTTATTACAAAGGCTCAAATTGGCTTCCACCCCAGACACAGAAGAAAGTCAATGCTGCACGTTAATCAGATGTTTCACGGTTGGCACTGCCGGCAATCTAATCATCCAAATGCATTTATCTACGCTCACAAGGACAAGATTGCCATGATTCTCACCTTCTTCAACCAAGTCTTAGGAAAGCTGCCTTGTTCATAAGATTGAATAAAGCAATCCACAGAGTGTGTGGCTTGTAGGACTTGGTTGTGAAGGGGGGGAAGGGAGACAAAAGAATCAAACCAAGTGAGCAGTATTAGGTGACTCTCCATTCACCTAATTTTCCATGGACCTTGTATCGATCATTTGGATATGTACTGAAGATACAGCAGAAGGAAGAGAAATGCTTTGAGACCCAATAATCTCAAGAATCCAAAATTTTGCCCATCTGAATAATGTAACTGTTAGTTTTACAAATGTCCTCTACAAAGATAGCCCCTGTGAAGAAAAAAGTAAATGCACAGGGGAAATAGATTGGTGCAGTGTTTGCAGCAATTCTGGGCCTTTGGCATGACCTAAGGAATGGAGAGCCAGTGCAGTGTAGTGCTTAGTGTCAGACTAGGATCCGGGAAATCCAGGTTCAAATCCCCACTCATGCCACGGAAGCTTGCTGGGTGATCTTGGGCCAGTCACACACTCTTAGCCTAACCAACCTCACAGGGTTGTTGTGAAGATAAAATGGAGGAGAGGAGAATGATGTAATGATGGGTCCCCATTGGGGTGAAGGGTGGGCTATAAATAAAGTAAATAAATAAATAAATAATAAAACAGAGAGCCATCTACCATCTCTGGTCAGGTTCATCCCTCCAAACACCAGAGGTCCAATAAACTGGGCCTTGATATCCCCTTCAAGGTAGACGAAGATTGTGGGGAGATTTCTGTCAGGGTAGTTGGGTATGCAAGTTGTAGAGATGGCTTTGACAAACTTGACCTCAGGGAACTTCTTTGCAAGTCCGTTTAAATGTTGATTTATCAAGGCACAGAGAGGAATGCTTTATAAAGAAGAAAAAAGATATCACTACAAGAGTCATGCCCTCTATGAATCAGCTTAGAAATGCTACTTTGCAAAAAATAATATGTAAAATACTCCTGTAAAGACTGTCGGGATACCACATGCCTGTACCACCAGCCTCGCAAATACATTACTGGAAACGCTGCAACTGTTTGGTTGATTAATCAAACTGATTAAGATCCTTCTGATTAACTGAAAAGTTTATCCAAAATAACTAGTTAACATGTTTTTTTAAAAATAAAAAAGAAACTATGAAACACACTGAAATGTCCTGTTATAGATGAAAAGTGGTGACTGCTGCTAAAGTATACATGCTAAAGAATACATGCACAATCTAAAAGCAAAGAATGGTAAAAAAAATATCAAAATTATTATGTTATTCATAGCTAAGTTACCTATTGGTTAAAGCACATGCAGTTAATCATCCAAGAGCTGCTAAAAAGAAACCTAGCTATTTTCAGAAAAATGCAATGACTTATAATCTTACACACTGAAGAGCTCAAATAACACTGATTTGCTACAGAAAAAAAATGCTACTTGAAATATTTTGCAATGCTTGCTTACCCTTGCTTGTAAAGGTGCAATATCACCCATATATCCTTGCTAGCTTTAGTAATTTCTTGGACATAATCCTGTCCTGAGATCTCTAGAAGTTCCCCAAATTTTTTCGTTAATTGAGATGCTTTCCATTCAGCTATCCTTTGCTGCCTGAACCATAGGAAGGAGTAAAAAATAAAGCACATATAAGAACAACACGGGTACAATACTAGGTGTGCTATTTTAAACCAAAGTCACTGCCAAAAACAAACATCCTGAACATACAGCTGTACAAAGCTACATTAATATACCCTGCAAAAAGTAGGTCACCATCTTTTCTATTGAAAATGGAAGCACCAAGGATGAAAGAATGACTTGCCTGAGGACAGTTAATGACTGCATGGCAGAGGAAAGATTTGAACCAAGGACTTCCCAGTTCATAGGTCTAAGCCACACCATGCCACACTGTGTCTCCACTTGTTAAAAAAGAATCAACAACAGAGACAAAGGAAGATCTGGGGGTTTTTTTGAAACCCCCAAAGGGGTATTTTTATTATTTTTCATAGACTATTAACTACAACGAAAAATATAGGGAGGGGGGACTACATCTAAGGATAAAGAAAGATACCCACACTAACTAAAAACCCAAGAGTAGGAGATCTTTTCCATGTTAATATAACTGTTAGTAAGACAAGTGTTAGTGATACAATATACTTGTGAAGTTCTTGTTTAACACATCTTCTACATTAGTAAGTTAATCTTTCTGAGAGTACTTCTTGAGCATCTTCTTTACTTCAAAGAGCAATTTACAGAGTCCTTCTGCCCTTACTTCGGTTTTTTATCCCTAAAGTCATATACAGTTTTCGTTGCTCCCGCACCAGCTTCCCCCACAGAGTCCTCGTCCGTTCCCGAAGTAGCAGAGTCACTTGACTTGGATTCTTCATCTTTAAGTTCTTCTTCCGGCCCAAGCTGACGTCTCAAAAATTCCTTAGCTTTAAAGATGGAGTCAATCTTCTCTCTTTTGCTGTTAACTTTAAAAATTACACTTTCAGGAATCGCCCACCTGTACTAAATTCCATTAGTTTGAAGAAATGAGATCAGTTCCTTGTAACCTCTTTTGATGGATTTCAAATGGGATATCCTTTAAATTCTTTATGATTGTGTTCCCAATTTTCAGTGGATTTGCCGAAGTTGCCTTTAATACCGCATCTCTGGTCTGTCTTCTTGCAAATCTCACCACAATCTTTCCAGGCAGGTTATTTCTCCTAATATAATTGGAGTATTCCCGATAGGCAGCCTCCATGTCTTTTACTATTTCATCCACTGATATACCTGTTACTGGAGCGATGATCTCTCCCAGAGTCTTCTTTAGATCTTCTTTTTTCCTTTTCAGGCACCCCCTGAAATCTGAGAGTCATGTTAGCTTTTTCCATTTGAAACTGTAACACACGAGTTTCCTGTAGTTTTTGTACTGTTTCCACATCCGTCACTCTTTTCTTCATCTTCTTATTTGCAATATCCATCTCTGTAATTTTTACAGTTGCATGTCCACTTTCTTCTCCGTTTCTGCCAGCTGGCGCTGCTGCAGAGCGAAATTTTGGTTCAGTGTGGCCAATTGCTGGTTAATACCACCGACGAGTTGCTCCAGTACTGGCTTCAGCATATCCACTAGCAACTTCATGACGTCTGCTCCCTCTTCTAGTCTTGGGCTCTGACTGCCTGGTTTCGGTTTTAACTTTCCTTGGGAAGCCGCCATATTTCACTTTGTTTACACTTCCAAACTGCTATGCCAGGACCCGAAAGACTTGTCGTTCCACTATCGGTACTCAAGTAAGTCTCTCAGAAAAGAATCCGCTGTTTGCTTCCCCCCTTCCCCCTTCGCTACGTTAGTCCATTCACGCACTTAGTTTTATTTCGAACTCACGTTCATTGTTGATCATATCTTGACCCCGCTCTCTTCATATGCTATTCCGCTCGATCTCCTGCGCTTGTCCAGGTTAGATTGGCTTGTACCCTAAGGTCACCCAGCCGGCTGGACCATCGGGGCAGGGCGGAGGGAAGCCTCTATTCTCCGGCATCCAGCCATCGAAGAGGCTAACCCCCAAAGGCCCCTTGCCTGGAACCCTTCACAAGGGCTCCGTGGGGGTGCCACTTGAGGTGGCACCCCTCCAAGCCGAGGGTGCGCTAGTTGCCTCCTCAGACATTGAGGAGAGCAACTGCCCCATCGCCGATCCACCCACCGGAAGTCAGAAGATCTGATTTTTCATTAAAATGGGGCAAAATAAGACACAAGCTGGGTGCACAGTGGAAAAAAAACACTTGCAAAGAAAGCATGCACCACTGTGTGTGTAATCTTACACAACCCTACAGTGTCAGAACCATCTTATTTAGAGCAAAGCTCCTCAAAGGAATTTCGCTAGCACAGGCAAGTCAAAGAAACCCTTGCCCCTTTTGAAAAATGTGGAAAATTCTTTCAGATGTGGAGCTCAAACTATCTGTGCTGGCATAGCCAAAAGTTTTAAACCTGCCATCTGGTAATCTTAACTGACTGATTTGGAAGCAAAGTCCATTGAAGTGAAAGGGTACAACATCCCAAAGAAATTTAGGAATCTTGCTGACATTTTAGATACCATTACGAAGTATCAGATCTGCTTTCAGACTCTGCTGGATAAAGGTTTATTCAGTAGTGAAAGTCTCTACCAGGGTGTTTTCTTGAACTACAGACAAGGAAAAGCAGGGAATTTTGCGGGAAAAACAGCTACTAAAACTTGCCAAAAACAACCCTTTTATTCCTACTAACAATATTCATTTTGTTCTCGAAGGCTTTCACGGCCAGAATTCATTAGTTGTATTTTCCAGGCTGTATGGCCATGGACTACAATGCCAAGACCACGGCCATACAGCCTAGAAAATCTACAACAACTAATATTCATTTTGTATGTGTATATTTTGTACATGTTGAGTATACATACTCAATTTTGGATGTGAACCTCAACTAATAGAATTTCTGACACTAACTATGCCAGAGTTTTCTGCTAATGAAATGGCATGACATCAATAATTATTAAAGGACCACAATTGTCACCGAGTGACAATTTTGTGTAACTTTTAGGCTTGGCATCCTCTGGCAAAAACTAGGGAGCCTGATTTAAAGTATGATTTTTAAATTATATAGTCAAATTCACCACATCACAGTTAAGGCTTTATTGTTTTTTTTACAACTGGAAGATACTACCCAATTAGATTGGTAACATCTCATTCATTCAACATTCCTCTTCTAAGTATTTCTTTACAACAGTGGTCAGGAACCTTTTATTATTTTTAAGAAAACTATCATCAGGGCAAGGGATCAACAAAAAGCCAGTATAAGGAAGTCTGTTTGTATAACTTACAATACAACTCAATATTACTGATAACTGTAATATTGATTAACATACAGTTTTCTGCAGCCCAAATCCTGACAGCTGGGGAGGCTTTTATCACGAAATGGCACACACAAAATCTCACAATAAGTAATAACTATACAGAACGGCACCCTGCATGATTATTTCAGTGCACTGGCATATATCTATGAATGCTGCAGAAAAATGTTCCGAGGACTGCACATAAACGTTAAATTGTTGTTATCTGCATTTTATGAGCAACAGTGACTAACTATATTATACTTGTATCTTACACACAGAGTAACCCTTTTAATGTCAATTAGCCCAGCTAATATTAGGATTAAGTCCTCATATTGAGGTGTCCAACTGTCCATAAAATGTTTTGCAGAATGCTCTTACCTGTACATTTCAATAGCATGTTCATCTTCCTCATTGAACTCATCTTCATTGTCTTCTAGTTCCTCTAGGGTCATATCCTCATAGGTTTTCACTGAAGTACGAGAAACAGAAGATCAAAGAAAAATGACAACTTTTGGAACAAAATTCCAATCTACTTGATAGCTTAATTAATTAATTATAAACAATCCTTTGTTTACCTAATTCTAAACAAGAAGCTGTGAAGAGCAGTAAATGGTTAACGCTATAACCTAGCTTGAGAACCTTGAGTGACAGGGTATTCAAATGGAATTCTTCAGTTGAGAGAGTCAGTTAAGAGTGGCAGTTAAGAACTGGGAAGGAAGGCTAAGGGTGTGAGAGGATCAAGACGGATCCCCATTCAAGTCTGAGGGAAACAGCACCTAGAAAATTTTATTTATTTATATATTTACTTCCAATTTATACCCCCCTTGCCGGTACAAACTGGCTCAAGGCGGCTTACATAAGATAAAATACAATAAGATCAATAAATACCATAAAATTCATAATAAAACAATTGCATAAAGTGCTAGTACAAACAGTGCAAACAGATGGCGGTGGTTTCCTATACATGATCCAGTAAGAAAAGACCATCCGACGTTATAACAGGGCTGTGGCATGTTTGACTTACGATGGTACATTCATCAGTGGCAGCTCCTAATTGAGGGCCTGGTGGAAGAGCTCCATTTTACAGGCCCTGAGGAACTGTAAAAGGTCCCGCAGGGCCCTGATGTCCTCCGGGAGCTCATTCCACCAGTGTGGAGCCGCCACTGAAAAAGCCCTGGCCCTCATTATGGCCAGTCTGGCATCTTTTGGGCCAGGGAGACACAGGCGATTTTGCGACCCTGACCTCAGTGCTCTCTGGGGCTCATGTGGGGAAAGGCGGTCCCTCAGGTAGGCAGGCCCCCAACCATATAGGGCTTTAAAGGTCAAAACCAGCACCTTGAAACGAATCCGGTATGCTATTGGCAGCCACTGCAATGCCTTCAGCACAGGCTGGATGTGATCTTGTGTAGAGAGCCCCATCAGCAGCCTGGCTGCCGCATTTTGCACCAGCTGCAGCTTCTGGATTTGAGACAAGGGCAGCCCCATGTAGAGAGTGTTGCAGCAGTCTAATCTTGAGGTGACCGTAGCATGGATCACTGTTGCCAGGTCATTGCGTTCAAGGAAGGGAACCAACTGCCTTATCAGCCACAGATGGTAAAAGGCTGACTTGGCAGTGGCTGCTACCTGGGCCTCCATTGTTAAGGAGGCATCCAGGACCACTCCCAAACTCCTGACCCTCGGCACTGGCACCAAAGGCACCCTATCAAAGGTCGGTAGTGGGATCTCTACTCCTAAACCGCTCCAACTCAGGCACAGGACCTCTGTCTTTGTTAGATTCAATTTCAATCGGCTCAGTCTAAGCCAGCCCACCACATCCTGAAGTACCTTCTTCAGGTCATTTGGGGTAGAGTCGGACTGACCTCCCAACAACAGATATAGCTGGGTGCCACCTGCGTATTGATGGCACCCTAGCCTATGCCTCTGGGCAATCTGGGCGAGGGGGCGCATGTAGATGTTAAATAACATCGGGGATAACACCGCCCCTTGAGGGACCCCATACACCAGCGGGTACCTCTTGGACGTCTGTTCCCCTACCGCCACCCTCTGTCCCCAACCTTGGAGAAAGGAGACGAGCGACTTCTGGTCTATGGCGGTGCGCGAAGCAGTCGGACCTCCCGAGGGTGAAGCTGCGCACAGGCAGAAAGGAGGAGGGGCGATACCCCAGGGGTCTGGCGAAAGACTCCTGGCCAAGGGACTTTTGAGAGGTCGCCTCTTCACCAGTGCGATGCTGGGGAATTGAGGCGCTTCTCCGTCCCCATGGTCCCTCTGCCGAGTGTCCGTAAGGAACCAGTGACGCTGACTGGGACAAGCGCAGGAGATCGAGCAGCTAAAAACGAAAGCAAACCGAGGTCGGATGACCGAGTATGAACATGAGTCGGATTAGAGCGATTTCGTTAAAGAAGAAAGCTCCCCCACCCCACAGACTAGAGAGTAAAGTGAGTGGGGGAGGGGCCCCTCCCATGCGCATAAACTCACAAGTGAGATCGGGGGGGGAGCGGAAGTGAAAGGGGTAAAAACTGTTGGAAAGACTTACCAAAGGCGTTACGAGCGTATGAGCGCATATTCAGAGACTTTTAAAAGTTTAGCAAAAGTAAACAATTGAAAAAGATGGCGGGGAAGAGGACAGAGAAGGAGAAACTTTCAAAAACAAAACCAGCTGAGAGTTCAAAACCGGAAGGAACCACCGAGTTGGCTAAAACGATGGCAGAGTCCCTGCGCCCCCTGCTGGAGCAGATGACTAACCTCAAGGAGCAGCTGTCAAAAATGAATCAATGTATCACCACTCAGCAAACACAACTCAATGAGACTCTTAAAATCATGGATCAAACAGCTGAGAAGGTGAAGAGGTTGACGCCACTACTCAAAAGGTGAAGAAAAAGGTGCAAAAATGGGGGGAAAGCAAATTTCAACAGAAGAACAGCTTTTGCAAATACAAATGGAGAAGGCAAACCTGGACCTTTGCTTCCAGGGTGTTCCAGAGAGCAGAGGAGAGAATCTGAAGCAAATGATGAGTGAAGCACTGGCCCCAGTGACAGATTAGAAGGCAGACTATCTTATGAGCGAAATGGATGTGGTCTACAGGTCCTACTCCATATACATAAAGAAGAAGAATCTGCCTGGGGAAATTGTAATGAGATTCTTGAAGAGACACGTGAAGGATTGCATCCTAAGAGCGACGGCGGGGACACCTTTGAAAATTGGGGACAGTACTATTTGGATTCTGAAAGACATTCCATTTGAAATAAGACAACGGAGAAAGAAATACAAAGATTTAATTCTTTTTCTTCAAACGAATGCAATCAGTTACAGGTGGTTATACCCAGAAGGCGTAACCTTCAAACTTCAGGAAAAAAAAGAAAAGATTGACTCTGTTTCCAAAGCACGGGACTTTTTGAGAATCCAGCTGGGTGAGCCAGAGGAGGTGGATAAAGAGGAAAAGGACAGTAAGTCCAGCGGCGAGCTGGACTCAGGGTCTTCTGGAGAGGACTGTCTGAGAAGGGGGCAGCGGCTCCTAAAAGTCCTTATAAACTGCGGAAGAGACAAGATAAGAAAAAATGAGGGTTGAAGGACTCTGAATGGTGCCTCTGATAAATACTGTTCTGTTCTTTTTTAATATGGAGATGCTGAGGGTTTTTTTCATAACAGTTAAATTTAAGATTTAAAAGTCATAAAAGCATGTCTGAATAAGTTCATCAAACGTAGCATTTTAAGAATTGGCATTGTATGCAAGCTAATTTGAGGATCTCCTCTCTTGGGTTTTTAGTTAGTAGTGGTTATCTTTCCTTTCTCCCTTAAATGTAGTACCCCTCCCTTTTTCATTATAGTTTGTAGTCTATATAGAAAATGCAATTAAAAAATCCCCTCTGGGGGGCCAAAAAAAAAAAAGAGAGAGAAAGGAGACGAGCCATTGTAAGGCAAGCCCCTGAATCCCATTGTCGGCGAGGCTCTGGATCAGCAACTGATGGTTGACCGTGTCAAACGCCGCCGACAGGTCCAACAACAACAGTGCCGCCGTACCACCTCAATCCAGGGTGTGTGATCCCTATCCAGTGGTTAAGAAGGGAAACTGGAATTTCTTTGAATGTTCCTGCCTACACCAACTTAAGTGTCTGTGAGATAAAGAAGCTTATGTTTGTGTATTTTATGTTTGACAGAGACTGTCAAGGAATCTCTCTCCTCAAGTTTTAAAGACCTGTCTGAATAACAGGAACAGTTGCTTGTTTGTGACAAATTATCTGGCATTTATTTGTACACATAGTTACTTCACTCCTGTTGTCTGTTCACTTCATAAATCCAACATCTGATTCCAACCTGACCATTTCCCCTCAAAGTTAAATAAAACAGCTTGTTATTTTTGAACCACAATTTTTCGTCTCTCCCCTCAGTTCCCCAGGCTGGGTCAGCATATATCTAAACACATTCAAATGACTAGGTGGGATACTAGAAAAACAGAAAAGAAAAAATAGGGGCTGCTCAGCCAGAAAGAAGATAAAGGGAAACCCTGTGAGAGTGGGCAAACTGGTCAATTACAGCCAATGTACCTTAAAGGCAGCAGCAGGCTTATTTTCCTCATGTACCCTGCTTTGTGCGGAGGTGTAAAGCAGAGACACATATTTGTAAACAGCCTGCAGAGATGCATCAGGGAACCCCAACCATTGTTGGGTCTCAGGCTGGAGACCACTCTGCTCCACACCATAAGTTGCTCACTGTTGCAAGCTCTAGGGTCAATGTAGCAAATATACTTGCTTCAGAAAAAATATTAATTAGTTCCAAGTTAATCATAATTTCAGCTCAAAGCACAATTTTCATAGCATTCAGAATTATTCACCACATCATTAACTCTGCTCCCACAGCTTACATCACAGGAGCATTTGTTAAAAATCTTTTCATTGTATTGGAGCATACCCCTTGGAGTACACTAATTGCCTGCTATATTTTACGCCATTTAGAAAAGTAACTGATGATTGCAGACTAAAATAAGAATCACCTGAGTAGGAGCTGCAAACTTGCAAAAAACTATCAGAAGAGGATCAAAGACATCTCTCCTGAAATAGCCTTTTCTTCAGTGATGGCACCTCAAGGCAGCTTCAGTACTTCCCCTAAGACCTGTAAGGTACCTCAGATAATGCAAGGGGAGCATTCAGGCACCATACAGACCTAATCCAGAGCATCTCTCCCTTATATATAATTGAGTAAGATGCAGCGTAAGACTGAGCGGAGACAAAATGCGCTCTGTCAGTCATTGGTCGGCCAGCTGCCGCTCAAGGCTGCTGCCATGCCATTGGCTGGGAGGCGAACGCTGCGTGCGAATTTCCCTCCCCCACCCACCCACCCAGTTGGAGTGCGGCGGCAATTCCTTCCCCCCCCCAACTGACGGGACCACCCACCCACCCAACCTTTCTAGGTGCTCGTTGTCTCCATCCACAACGGACTTTGCTTCCTAGTACTATTATAATTGTCATTAGTTTTTTTTTCTCATTAGGCCTTCCTGAACTATTTCAAGGACCAGGACAGGCTAGAGATGTAAAATTCCCAGAACTTTTGAGCTGGGGGGGGGAGGGGTGTTTTGTTTGTGGAACTGAAATTCTAAAAAAAAAATATTGCAATATATTTAATAATTAATTCCTTTCAAACCTAAGACTATTTGAGTGATTTAGCAATATAAAAATAATCATTTCTAACTTTGCATATACAATGGAATTGGGCATATTTGTGAAACACAAAAAGTACAAATATATCCATTTTCTATGAGAAAAATACCAAGCAAACTCAATACTTGAGAGTTGAAAACTGCTGTACCCTGTGTTTCCATAGCCACATGTATCTTTAATTTTTCCCCTCAGGGAGACAGGAAAAAATAAAAGTTGAAGGCAGAAAACAAATTCTGGAGTAAGGAAGAGAAAGTGTATTATTTGGACAGAAAGTCCCTCATGCACAATAAGTAAAACTGTCGATGTGTTTGGATATTAAGCTGAACTTTATAACATTGAACACACTGAACTCTTTAATAATGCAGTATCATTAAACACATTATAGAATATTAATAGATGGTAAAATTATTTAGATTTAAACTTTAAAAGTTCTTGTTGCATGTGTCTTATAGTATAAGATTTTTAAAAAGTGCTTCCTAAAATGTCCCAATTTTTTCAATGGGAAAATTGAGAAAGTCCTCAGACTTTTTCATGCTGCATATCTGTAAGACGTTTTGCTCACTCAAAAAGAGAAAATATTTCATAGTTTTTTACGTACATCCCCAAATCTTCCAATTCAAAACTGGGGGGGGGGGCAGAATGGGGGAAAAAAAGGTTTCCCCCAGTTTTTTCAGTTCCCTCCCCACAAGCCTTCACATTTATAGCATAGGCCACATGAGAACATCAAGTACATTTCCTTTAACAAACACAATAACGTCCAGCATAAAAGTGTACCTCTCTGTCCTTAGTACAGTAGCACTTGAGCAAGAGCAAAAAAAATTCACAATGCCCCCAAAAAGGTAACAAAAAACGATGGGTTTAAAAGACACATACCAACTCACAGCAATAATAATTGTGTGACTCAGTGGAATTGTTTAATGCCATGTGCCATCTTATACACCACTACTAGGCTGGCAGTCCATTAAAGATGAACTGATAGTCCATATCTCGACCTATGTCCATTGACTGCCCATTCCAGAGGATAAAATCCAAGCCCAAATACTTTGAGCTTTTCCAGGCAGTTCACCACAGTCTGACCATTTTCTAGAAGGGTGTACTGGATGCCTTTCTTAGTGTCCCTGCTGCTCAGGCATAATGTTCTCCAAGAACGACTCTTGATACTCTTCATAACTGAGAGCAAGAAAAGCCCATTCTTGTCAGTAAGCCAAATCCCCAAATGCAATACTTACACAAGTCCCACTGAGGTAAATGTATTCACATAACTGAAGCTGTACAATTTAACATTACTGTTAACTGTCATGGTTAATTTATAATCCACAAAATTTCTGCAGCCCAAACTCTTGTTACAAGTTCTTTCTACAGAAAATGTCACATACGAGGTTTCCAAGTAAATATAATGAATATACACACAGGAGCACTCTGCACAATTGCTTTACTGCGCTGGTATAAATCTGTGCGTAGTTTGCTCTTTGAATACCGACAGCTGTTCACTTCTGTCACTCCTCTTTCTGTAAAGCTGTTCACTTTCTGTCACTCCCGCCTACCCAGCAGTTTGAAAGCTTAGCAAGTAGATAAATGGGTACCTGCCTTAGGTGCAGGGGGGCACCCGCCTTCCGGCGTTGGGGCGGCGAGGAGGAGTGGAGCAGTGGTGCCGGCGGCGGCAACAACGGCGGCGGAGCAATCCGATGAAAGAACATGGCGGAGATTTAACATCAAGCAGCAATCGTTCCAGGCGGGGATTGGCCCTGAGACGCGACAACGTGGCGTCGCTGCATGGCCGGAGCCAATTGGACAGAGGCCAGCGCAGGAAGTCATCGCACAGTCGCAGACTATGGGAGCTTCCCCAGAAGGAGCCGCTGCGGAGCCCACTGAGACAAGATTCCGCCATAAGGAAAAAGAACACACACGCTGGCGGGGTGCCTGGTAGGCACCCACCTCCCTATATATATACCGTATTTTCCGGCGTATAAGACGACTGGGCATATAAGACGACCCCCAACTTTTCCAGGTAAAATATAGAGTTTGGGATATACTTGCCCAGATACTGTATTTACCGGCGTATAAGACGACCCCCCCATTTCTGAGAAGATTTCCCTGGGGTAAAAAGTAGTCTTATACACCAGAAAATACAGTATACATTGTATGTGGCCCTAGTTAGGAAATGTAATATGTAAACAGCTCAGAGCCTCCGGGATTGAGCGGTATAGAAATTGAAAGTATAAATAAAATTAAATAAATAAATAAATAAATCATCTCTAAGAAGCCCTGTAGTCCTCTAAGTACCTTTGCTTGCCATTCCCCTCACAGAGTGGTTATTCCAGCATCCCACTTATTCTTCCAGCATCCCATAACTTAAAGATTTCCTTTTCTTTCTTTTTTTAAAGAGCCATGTGTGGCCCTAGAACTATAGGCTGTAAACCACTGGATTACCGGGGAGGGGGGGGGGGGTCCATGCCGTTTAGCTTACCTATTGACTGCTGCTGTAGGATCTGCTGCTCCCTTTCCTCTTCTGCTTGCCTCTGTTCTTCTAGCTTCTCTTTTGAAGGAAGAATACCCTTTTTACGCAGGATGTCATTCCACTCCGTGTCTTCATTAGGGTCCTAGAACAATCAGAGTTATAAAAGATGAATACCGTCAAACTCCATGCACACAACATAGCTCTGCAACCTCAAGATCAGGCTACTGAACTTGAGATTTGGCACTGTCCTTACCTATTTGAAAGTGCTAGCCGTCCATGAACGTGGCAGTCTTGCTTTGGGCAAGTCTGGGGTGCCAGAAGCCCTTCTTTCCCATAATCCAACATCAGCTCAGACTTTCCATTGTGTCACTAGCACTATTCATAAGGTACATTTTTATCTGCAAAGCCCTTTAACAGAACAAGTCCAATTAACCGAGACGACTAACTTCCCTGCTATTACCTGCATAGCCCAGGCTAGCCCCATCTCATCAGATCTCGAAAGGTAAGCAGGGTCAGCCCTGGCTACTATTTGGATGGGAGTCCTCCAAGGAAATATCAGAGGCGTGACATGGAGGGCAGGCAATGGCAAATCACCTCGGAATGTCTCTTGCCTTGAAAACGCCACAGAGTCACCGTAAGTCAGCTGTGACTTGACAGCACCACCACTTAACTCCCCTAAATTCCATTGCAGTCTTCTGAGAGCAACACCTCACATTTGCTATCCACACGCACAATCAATCTAAAAGCTGCATCGCAGTCCTTGAAGATTCAAGGACTGAGAGCCAGTTTGGTGTAATGGTTAGGACTGGCAGGACTCTAATCTGGAGAACCAGGTATGATTCCCCACTCCTCCACATGTAGCCAGCTGGGTGACCTTGGGTCAGTCACAGTTCTCTCAGAGCTGTTCTCTCAAGAGCAGTTCTCTCAGAACTCTCTGAACCCCACCTACCTCACAGGGTGTCTGTTGTGGGGAGAGGAAGGGAAGGAGATTGTAAGCTGCTCTGAGACACCTTCGGGTAGTGAAGAGTGGAGCATAAAATCATTTTGACATGAATAAGGTTAAAGCCGTGTATGTGTTTGTGTGTATAGGCAAGGGCTTCAGCATTTGGTTAGTTCACTATAACTACTGATTTTAAATGTTTCTATTGTGTTTTGAAATGTTATTGCATTCGTAGAAAATTATGTAACCTGCCCTGAGCCCGCTTGCTGGATGGGCAGAATATAAATGCGAAAAATAAATAAATAATAAATACTTTGCTATATATGTGACTTTTTAGACAATTCTCGTCTGGCTTCAGGTTTCAAGATGGTGACTAGAAATCTAACATTAACCTACTGATTGACAGCTTAACCCAGACACCTGGAATTTTCTACACTGCACATTATGAAAGTGGCAGGCAGAAGGCAAGCCACAGGTGGACCTACAGCTAGATTAATCTCTGCTGCAACATGAGGTCCTTTTGAACATGGGATGCTTTTTGTTTTCAGGATGCCTAGGTGACAACTTTGCATTATGTGAATCAGTGCAATTCTATACTTGACTTACACCTGATTGGACAAGGAAGACTTCTACCAAACCCCCTTTCATTGGAGAAGCCTAAATAATACACCAGTGACAGGATTCTATGCTGGCCATTGTGCCAGTGTAACTATGATCAGCAGACCACCACCAGTATATGGTCAGTATTGGATGGGTGGGACATAATCAGAATCCTACAGTCTTTCACAGGTCAGTCCTGCCAGTGGGCATAATGTAACAGTACATCAAAAAACAAATGGTATAAAGTTAAAATATTCTCAATATAGTCCACCGACAGCTCCATCTTCTTCGTCTGTGGCTTCACAACCAGTGTTCCCTCTAAGCTGAGTTAGTGTGAGCTAGCTCACAGTTTTTTAGCCTCCAGCTCACACATTTTTATCTTAGTTCAGGAAGGATGGCCCCAGAGCAAACTAACTTATGCAGTAGCCAAATCACTCGCTCACAATTTTAATGCCAGTGGCTCACAGAGTGGAATTTTTGCTCACAAGACTCCACAGCTTAGAGGGAACATTGTAACACACTGAAAAGACCAGTAATTATGGCACACCACCAATACCCTGTCAGGGCACACGCATCCCAGACCACACAGCATATGTATTGGCAAGGGGCTACATCAAGCTGCTCCCATATCTACAAAATGAATCCATATTTTTTTTCTTCCTGTCTTCACCTGTATCCCTTTGGTTAGCTATCAGAGGTTTTGTTTCTTCTCTGTATGGCTTACATGAACATCAGTCTGCAATCTGCTCAACCGGTGGGTGGCAATGGACACAGGAGCTGTGCCTATCATGGTCACTACATTCTCTCCCATTTAATATCACTTTGCTAATTATTTGCAGAGAACTGAATGGTGTCAAACTGTCACACTGACATTTCAACGGTGGCTGCTAGCATCTCAGGGCCATAGGATCACTCTGTCCATTGCACGGCCATAGCTGATCCATGCTGGCACCCTGAAATAACCACCTATTGTGCTAAGCGACTGATCCATCCTGACAGCTTGTGCAGTGCAGCTGAGTCTTACATCTGTGATGCTGCATTTCTAAAAACCTTTATCTGTGAATTCTTCCAAACCACTACCACTTGACCTCAGGCCCCATGAGAAATGCACAGATCCTAATGTAGGGTGGAGGTAATTCCCACACCAGTCTACAAAACACAAGATTATATTGTCATAGATGATCCATCTTTACCGGTCTCCACCTGTGTTCCCTCTAAGCTGAGTTAGTGTGAGCTAGCTCACAGTTTTTTAGCCTCCGGCTCACACATTTTTGTCTTAGCTCAGGAAGGATGGCCCCAGAGCAAACTAATTTATGCTGTAGCCAAATCACTCACAATTTTAATGCCAGTAGCTCACGAAGTAGAATTTCTGCTCACAAGACTCCACAGCTTAGAGGGAGCACTGGTCTCCACCCTCCCACCTAAGGATAACAACCTTAAGTAGGGATGCTAGCCTGCAGGTGGGACCCGGGGATCCCCTGGAATTACAGCTCATCTCCAGACTACAGATACCAGTTCCCCTGGAGAAAACGGATGCATTGGAGGATGGACTCTGTGGCACAGTACCCCACTAAGGTCGTGTCCTCCCCAGGCTAAATCCCCAGGAATTTCCCAACTTAGATCTGGCAACCCTACCCCCCATCTCCTGCCAGTGGGGCGTCTGGCAACCTAAACATCCTCCTTATCAACTCACCCCCACAAAACCAGAGATTAAAAACACTAGAATACACCCCATTCACAACAAGGGACATAACACCTCACAGCTTCCTCCCTCATCTGTAACAGGGCCAACACCGGTCAGTTTCTTTCTTCCCTTCTGGCACCAAAAATACCAGTAATGCCTTTTAATAGGGTTGCCATCTTTTGAAAAGCAAAAAAGATGACAGACTTCCTGACTGACTACTGATCACGATGACAAATTTCATTTTGAATACCCGTACCATTTCAGCTGTGAGAATGGCTACTAACTAGGAACAGTCCTAGCCTTCCGATCCCAAAAGAGGGCATTTTCATTAGTTTTTTAAAAAGGCAGACCCCCCCCCCCCAAAAAAAAAGAACATCTGGTAAACTCCCTTCTTTTGGGGGGGGGGAATCTGAAGGATGTGGGCTCTCCTGCGTTTGGAAGATACACACTCCTGCTTTTGTTTTTACTCTTTGTGGAAGAAAAGGAGGGGAGGGGAGGGGAGGAACATCAGTCTTGCCGCCCAATCACTGCAGCGGTAATACATAGGCCTTCCTATGAACGGCTGTCTAAACAGACAGGAAGTATCAGTCGAAGCGCTTTCTTTTGTGTCACACTCGCTACCCAAGCAGCGAGAAATGCCACCACCCTCCGGAGCACCCTCAGCAAGAAAGAGAGTAACGCTGAGAAGCTTTTCTCCCGACAGAAAGGAGGGGGCGGTCACGTGAAACTCGGTAGCCCAACACCCGGGAAGCAAAAAGCGTGCCGGCCACGGCCACCTTCCGGATTGTGGGACTGCAACGGGGTGGTCCCGCTGTATTTCTGCACTGAGCGGCCCAGGCGCCGAGGCTACCAGTCCAGCGAAAGTGCCCACGCTACCCTCCGGTTTTTTTGCCCTCTTCAGGCCCACTAAACTGATCACAGCAGCTGGGGAACCCACCCACCAGGCCAGGCAGCTTCTTCTCGGACATTCTCTCATGCAGAGAGTCCCCCCGAGGCACAAAGTGCCGTCAGCCACCAGGTGGTCGCCGCTTAGCTCACCTGCATGTTGGCGCGTAAATCTTCCCGCCGGCGCTGCCTAAACGGCAAAGAGTGGCGCCGAAGACTCCCGACCGCACCGCGAGGAACGCCGGCCTCGGCGCCTCCCAGGGAGCAGAACCCGTGCAACGCACAAGAGCTCGACACGCCTCCCTCCTCCCTGAGTTGGCCTTATTAGGGCTGATCCGGGGACTTTCCTCATTTGGCAGCAGGCGGGGGGGGGGGGGGGTCCAAGCTGTGGGCCGGCTGTGTGCGGATATTAGGGAGTGTAAAGGGTGGTGGTGGTAATGAAATCAGCATTTTAATATTTGCTAAACGTAACACTAGCAACCCGTTCCCCCGAGAATCCCCACATGCACTTCTCAGATATCATAAGGGGCATCCGTGCGCTGTGATAGTGCCATTTTGGAAACGGGGTGGGGAGGACTGTAAATGTTACAGATGCAGAGACATGCTCGTGGCATTTTCAGAGGGAAGATGCGGAATCACCTTAGCAGCTTGTATATAACCTCTGCATTCCAGAATACTCCTTTATTTAAATAGTTATGCCCTAGTTCTCCCCCCCCCAGGGATCCAGAGCTGTTTAAAACATTTTTCTCCCCATCTCTGTCTTATCTCATCAACCCTGTGAGGTGGGTTAGGCGAAGAGAGTGACTGGCCCAAGTTCACCCAGTGAGCTTTGTAGCTGAGTGGGGCTTTGAACCTGGGTTTTCCAGATGCCTGCCCAACATTTTAACCCTTACACTAAGCTGGCTTGTTAACAAAGTGGTGTTTTGCTTTTTAACAACTGTCCACAGACATGAATTCTCTCTTGTGGCCCTCACCATATGAAACAGCCTCCCTGAGGAGATCAGGCAGGCACCCACTCTCCGGGATTTCTGCAAACTGTCAAACTTTAATTATTCAAGAGGGCTTTTCTACGTAGGCAATAGAGTTGCGCTGTACTAAATGGTTCACAAACTTACTTGGATAAAGTATTAGGGACCATAGTCTATAGTATTGTGTTTAGGCTGCTGAAACTAGAATCCCACTATGTAATTTTTGCATCATTTGATGTGTCATGCTAATACTCATGCTTTGCTTCACTTTTGTTTTTAGACTTCTGGTTGGTTCTGCAAACCCTAATTCCTATTGTATTGTTTATTGAATGTCCCATCCTGTTGATTGTACCGGCTCTCTCTCTGTAATCTGCCTTGAGTCCAACTGAGAAAGGCAAACTATAAATAATGTAAATAAATGAAAAATAAATAAATTAATAAATAGAATATTTAATCTCATGATGGTTCTGGTTGCACCAAAGTATTGGAGACATTTACATAACCACAATTTGTTCTCGGTTTCCTGGGAGAAATGAAAGATTTTACTTAGATAAGCTGCTGGCTGACAAAGAGCAGGGAACTACTTTAATAAACATGGCAAAATTTGCCATGTGGGCCATCAAAATCTGGAAACAAGCTGTTAGTAGTTAGTGGCTAATTATTTAACAATATTTTACTCTGATATTCTGGATAGTGTTTGTATGAATTTTAATGCTTTACCGGCTGATGTATATTCAGTTCTTTTATGTACCTGATCAATGACCATATTAATAAACTACTACTGTGGTTCCTGACCCCAAAGTGGCAATCAGCATTTCCCTGGGCGTGTAAGAAAGGGCCACAAGAACTAAACACTGATGCAGCCCTTCCTGCCCTCCCTCTCACGATCTGCCTAAGTTCACAGGTTCTGGTTGCACTTATTACCAAAGAGCTACATTACAATTTAAACTCATTCAAACATTTAGTGCCTAGACAAACCACCTGGGCCTCCACTCCCATTCATAAATTTAGGCTTAATAGCAATGTGATGCTGGAAAGGCAAAAGGACTTATTCATGGGATTCAGCTTTCACCCACTGTCTTGTTTTAGCTATGCTGCTGCCTGCTCAAGGCAATTACATGTGCTTTGTTAGCATACCAGATATCCATAGTTTGTGCAGCTGCCACTAACATAACACACATACCTGCTCTGCACAGCCAGCAGTACAGGTTAAATGAGATGGGGGGAGGAGGGAATGTGCAAAGTCACACAGTCATGTTCTTTTGTCTTATTAGTGTTTTGTCAGGTTTCTGTTAAAGGACTGAAATATACTAGATTCAGACGCGTAGAATGATTAGCTCATGTTTATTAAGTGGTTTCAGCTCCAAAACTAAGACAAATTAGCAGGCTCAAGAGCCCTGCTTATATTCATGAAACACACCATACCCAACACACACACCCCACATCCCACGATAGGCTATTTACAGAGTATTGTTTACCAATTGGCTACTGCTAGGATCCGGATCTATCTATTGGTTCATTCTAGGATCCAAGCCTTCTATCGTGATGATGAAGAAGAAGAGATTGGATTTATACCCCGCCCTTCACTTGGAGTCTCAGAGCGGCTTACAAACTCCTTTCCCTCCCCCCCCCCACAACAGACACCCTGTGAGGTGGGTGGGGCTGAGAGAACTCTGACACAAACTGCTCTTTTTTCAAGGACAGCTGAGCCAGAGCTTGTGACTGACCCAAGGTCACATCAGCAGGTGCAAGTGGAGGAGTGGGGAATCAAACCCGGTTCTCCCAGATTAGAGTCTTAACCACTACACCAAACTGGTGCACTCCAAGCTACGCTATTAGCATTTTCACTTGCGAGCCCATTCGCAAGTATGGTTCCATCGCAATACATAACAAGGACTTTAATTTTTAATTCAATCTGAATTCAAAATTTGGGAACGGAATCATCAAGAACTCCAGTTCAAAGGGAAGCACACTTACATTTTTTAAAATATATCCCAAAATCTCCCACAAAGAAAAAGCAGAGACTCTCCCTGTTTCCCAGGGACACTTGCCAGAAAACTTTTGTTTTCTTTGACTAAGTAATTAAAAAAAATGTTTTACAAAATCTAGGGGGGAAATTTTGTTTCCTATCACTTCCTCCTCAACTTTTTTAAAAAAGGGGGGAAATAGCCCTGTTAAATACTGGGTTCAAGACGCATTGCAGTGAACAGCTCTACTCTATTAAGTGATTTCAGGAACAAGACTAAAACACCAGGGCAACAGCCCTGTTTAAATAGCATGCAAACCCCACACCCAACTCCCAACTATAGGGTATTTACATAGTATTAGTTTCTCATTGGTTGCTTCCAGAGTCCTGGTGGGTTATTGTTCTAGAGCTCTGGTAGATAGTCGTGGAATGTTCCAGACCTAATACATAACAAGCCCTTATTATGCTGGAAAGGTGTATAAAAAACTGAGTATCTTATCGACCAGCTTAACAATACAGAGATATTCAATAGATGCAGCACTCCCTATATTTATATGGAAAGCTGTATCTGTTGGATGAATGCCTTCAGTACTTGTTACTTAAAGCACCACAATTTGGCAAGGTTTTTAAATGTTATTTTAAAGATGATTTGGCTTTTTTATATAAGGAGACATTGCTTGAAATAATGAAGCGTGGAAGTTCTGTACTCTCAAGTAAGGAAAAACAAATGAAACACATGAACACATGAAACTGCCTTATACTGAATCAGACCCTTGGTCCATCAAAGTCAGTATTGTCTACTCAGACTGGCAGTGGCTCTCCAGGGTCTCAGGCAGACGTCTTTCACATCACTTACTGCCAGATCTTTTAGCTAGAGATACTGGGGATTGAAACTGGGACCTTCTTTAGTAGAGGTGTACATTGGTAGTGCTGTATAAATAATAACTTAGCAACTCTCTTTGAATGTAGAAAAGAGTAAAAGTCCAGTAGCACCTTAAAGACTAACAACATTTGTGGCAGGGTATGAGCTTTTGTGGGTCACTGCTCACTTCTGTAGAGCAGTGAAGAAGTGAGGAGTGACTCACAGAAGTTCATACCCTGCCACAAATTTTGTTAGTCTTTAAGGTGCTAGGTAAAGGTAAAGGTTCCCTTGCTCGAAAGCCAGTCGAATCCGACTCTAGGGTTGCAGTGCTCATCTCCGTTTCAAAGCCGAAGAGCCAGCGTTGTCCAAAGACGTTTCCGTGGTCATGTGGCCGGCATGACTAAACACCAAGGCGCACGGAACGCTGTTACCTTCCCACTGAAGTGGTACCTATTTATCTACTTGCAATTTCTTGCTTTCGAACTGCTAGGTTGGCAGGAGCTGGAACTAGAGACGGGAGCTCACTCTGTCATGCGGCACCCCTGGGTCTCGAACTGCTGAACTACTGACCTTCCACAGCCTGCAGTTCAGCATCTTAACCACTTGAGCCACCGCAGCTTGAAGGTGCTACTGGACTCTTACTTTGATCTATCTCTTTGAATGAAGAGTCTCCTATTTTCATGAAGGGAAAATAATGAAGGGAAAAATTAATAATTTTAACACCTTCCCTTCTGTAACACCTGAAATTAGTCCTCTGAGGGAGTGGCAGAAGAAAGAGGACACATCCTGTATCTACCAGGCTATTTGGGACTTTTCTTAAGTAAGCTGATTGAGCCTTCCAGACTGAGGAATCAAGGTGAAAACAATAAACCTAGAGCAACAGTCAAAATGGAGACAGCTAAGGGAACTTCTGCTTCAGTTCCAAACAAGGAAGATTTTAAAAGGTGGCAGCTTCCATTTGTGAGGGAGGACAAAGCTGTTTGTTAGCTGGAGGAAAACAACAGTTTTGTGTTGTGTACTACAGTAAGTTCAAAGGGGGGGAAAGGTGAGTAGCATTTTTGTAAAAACCAACAAAGGCCCCTGCCACACGGCAGGAGAAAAGCCTCTAAAAGCGCGGCTTTTAAAAGCCGCGCCAAAGTTGAGACGCCGCGGGCAGGATCTCACGGATCCCCTGGCCGCGGCGCCTTTTCTCCCCGGCACGATCTGACGCCGGGGAGAAAACACAGCTCTGACAGGGAGCCTGCCAAACTGCGCATGTCGGAGCATGCGCAGTTCGGCTAGGAGCCAGGGATGCGCTGGCGCAAAGACGCGCCGGCGATCCGACGGCCCGGCTTGCGGCGCGTCATCCGGATGAACCACCTCAGGTAGGTGGTTCACTTTTGATGCGCCTCATCGGGGGAAGGGCCGGATCGGAGACGGGAGCGCAATGCCAGCCAGATGTTGGCGTGGGATCGCGCCCGTTTGCTCCGTCTCCAATCCGGCCCACT